AAGAGGGTCAGGGAGATGTCAATAAGCATGCATGGTCTGTAGTGAAAACTATTGAAGCTCTGTGGTCTTCATAACCAAAATAAAGGAATACACCATTGTACAAATGTTTTACTTTGGGGCGCCTGCTATTTGTTTTTTTACATAGTACCAGTGTGGCAGCTTTTGCTACATAATGTGTGCGGCTTCTATACTGAATTTACACTCAGTTTCCATTTTATTAGGTACACATTGTTAAAACTAATGCAGTCGTATACAACATTATGCAGGTTATAATATTTGTAAATAAAATCAGTTGTGGTTCAGACTGTTGAACAAAACTGTTCAACGTTATTTTAGAGGCTGTAATTTGTGGTGCTGTTGAAATGTACAGCGTTACACTGAGAGATTCTTCGAATATTTAGGGTAAGGATATATCTTCTTACTGTCCATGTTTATTATCAGTAAACCAATGCGGAAATTGTGCTTTTATTGTGAAGGATTGTGTCCGGAAGTCTCCCTGTTGTTGCTGCTGGAGAGAACGAGGGACGCTTCATCCTTTTGGCGCAACTAGAATAATATAACGTTAACATTTAAGTTTTAGGTCAACTAGATTCGTTACGGTGAGTAAATACAAATCGAAGTTCTTTTAGACTTTATGTTTTGACAGGTTAATAACTAACATTATGTCAACTCGTGGCAGCATGTTACTCGATGCTAACGTTGGCTAACAGTTTCCTAGCTAACCTTGCACATTAACTAATCCGCCATCTGACTCTGAGAAAACTGTACTAAAATTAACACTTCTAGGTATTATTCGTGATAATCATTTCGGTGAACGTCCAGTGAAGTTTTGTAGCTATTTAAAAGGTTACCAAAACATTGAAGTTGAAGAACTAGCAGCTTGATTTCGCATTTGTTTTACACTAAACTTATCATTCATGTTGTCAGATCGCGTAAACTAATGAACACGCTAACCACAGTTGTATTTGTATAAAAATAAATACTAACCGAGTTAATTGACGCTTGCTAGCACTGGTTACATTGTACACTCAGGTGTGTCTCTGTCCCCAGGTGTCCAACAATGATCATCCCTGTCCGGTGCTTCACGTGTGGGAAGATTGTGGGTAACAAGTGGGAGGCATACCTCGGCCTACTTCAAGCAGAGTACACTGAGGGGTGAGATAAATACCTGCTGGTTTGTGTTGTTTGTATAACGTTACATCTCCAGGTTCTTGGCAGTGTGTCATTTAATATGTAAGGCTTAAGTCAAAACCAAAACTGTTTAGATATACAACTTGCATGTAAGCGGCTGTGCCAACTTTATTTTCTGGGAGCAGTCAAGTGGAAATACAACATAGTAAAACCTCTGTAGACTGTTCAGTTGTCATGGGCTGTGCTAATGTCCTCAAGGTTTGGTGTGGTCTACATTCAGACTTGAATGCAATGATGGACTGAATAATAGCAGTTTCCCGAGGCCATTTATGCTGCTGCCATGACTATTGTGTGCAATAATGTCCATGTAGTTTATTCATTCATCTGGTGATCTGTATACCATGCGTTAGGACTAACATTACCTCCTTACTCCTTTATAAGGGATGCTCTTGATGCCCTGGGCCTGAAGAGATACTGCTGTCGGAGGATGCTCCTTTCTCACGTGGATCTTATTGAGAAATTGTTGAATTATGCTCCACTGGAGAAGTGATTGGAAATGGTCACCTTCAAGAACTGCAAAGACTTTGTGAGGCTGTGGCATGGACAGACTCATATTATATTGATTTGTAACAACAAATGCCAACCACAGTGAAGATTTCTGGAACATTAATTTGTGCGCTGATGTGATAATTTTTTTTTAATAAAGTTGTTAAAATGACATTGCTACCTTTTTATTACTGGCTTATCTAGTTACCTAGATGAACCTGTCTTTCTACGGGACTAAAAAGGTGAAAATGAGTTCTTACATTTGTGCGCTGTGTCACTGTGTTGTGCATTCAAGCAAAACAGCACCTGAAATGGAGAAAAATTACTATTAACTTTAATTTCTGTAATTTTTTTTCCAAATTAAAGAGACCCAGAGAAGTGCATGTGAATCACAGCTTCCGTGTTAAGGTGTCAGTTATCAGTAAATAGCAATAAAAGTACTTGTTTAATGTTCTAAAAATACAACTATAGGTAATTATTCGGTTATCCTTAGTGCGCAGATGTAATATGACCTAAATGCCTGAGAAGAAAAAACAAATTTTTTGGGGAATGTTTTTTTAATTTGTAGATTTAATACAAAAGAAAGTGAAAACATTACACTGCATTACATTTACACGGTTTTAAGAGGTGTTCCTGCGCATGCGAGCATTGGAATCTCATGTTCCAGCAACAAATCTACAACCACATTTATTTTTTTTTTCTATAGCAGGTAAAAGTCCCAGTATGTACAGACGACTGGAGAACAAAAAAGTACACCGACTTTAGGAGATACAGCTTCAGTCCCACCTTAGAATTCTCCAGGTTTTTATACAGCTTGGTGCAGAAATAAAAAAAAAAAAGAAGTCCTGTCTTCGTTCTGCTACACTCCGACAGTCTGGGGAGAAAAAAAGCATACTTTTCAAAGCCACATTTAAACAAATTAAATATGGGCTGTACAGTACTACCAGGTGGCTTTTTGTCCTTTCAGACTTAACAGTTCATTGCACAGAAATAACTCAACTAAAAATAACTACTTTACTGACCTTTACTCCATGAACCATTTTCTGTCTAAAAGGATTTAGGTGTGCTAAAATAGTACTAAGAACCAGAGGCATGTGCCTAGCAATGTGCACTCCTTAACTATATAAATATGGAAAAATCTAGGATCTTTATTGAAATTATTGTTATATATCTTTAAACAAAATTATGTGCTGAAGATTATTGTAAGATTATGTTCACTGACTTAATGAAATACAGTATGAAGAAAGTTTTGTATTGTGTTGGTTATATATATATAAAAAAACCTTTATTGAATCGGGTATTCTCATTTAGGTAAAGGTCTGTTTTACAAGACACCTCAGCAGAAGCAACAGAAGAAACAGAACAGATCAGACACATTGAAGCACACAAACAGCATCAGAAACAATCAGACATCTCTTAGGAGGTCCAAAATTAAAAGTTGAAATTCATCCAATAGTATGAGACTTTAAAGTTCATTCCATTCATATGGTGCAGAGTACCAGAACAATAATGGAACGGTCTGATGGGTGAAAAGTATGTAAGTTAAGTGTATAAATTAGAGGGAAGCTTACCAAGTTAGCGGTATCTGTCTCTGTGGTCTCTGTGCCTTTCTCGTTCCCGTGAGCGTTCCCTATCCCTATCCCCGCGATCTCTGCGTCTTCGAGACATTCCCGCACCGTCCCAACCGGAAGAATCTTCTCTGTCACGTTCTCTGTCACGATCTCGCTCTCTGTCCCGACCCCTGTCCCGGTCTCTTTCTTCGTCCCCAGAACGACTGCTACTCCTGCACAGAAATGTGTGTATTTGTGTGATACTGACTGATAAGAAAAGCTTATGCTAGTTCCATACTTCAGAAGTTCTACCTTCTTTATGGACTGCAAGATGCATCGTGTCTTAGAGTCCTGAAGCATAATTGGACAAACCTGTAGCCGTAGTTGCCCTGGATAGAGACTAGACAGTCTTTGAGTGAGGTGACCAGGGCTTGGCAGCGTTCATCTCCATACACTCTGGACTGCTTAATGATGGCAATGGCAGTTAATAGAGTCTCCATGGCCACCCGCAAGTCTCCTGTATTAACAATAAAAGTAAAGTTATGTATTTAAGCACTTCTCTTAAGTTTACGGTAAATAAAGTATGACATTTAACGCACTCGCATCCTTTAGAATTAAGTTACAAAAAGACTGGAAATCAGTATAATCAGTTGGTTGTGACTGACCGTATTCCAGGAGAACCTTTGGCAGCCAACGACAACTTTAACCATGATTAGATTAAACTACACCTTTGGAGTTACACTATCGTACTCTAAGTCACATACAGCATTCATAACAAAATCAGTCAGTCACTCTCTTATGCTCGCAATAGTGTGACTAACCTGAAATGATTTGGCCATAATCTATCCACACCCAACAGCATGTTGTGCATATAATTGTAATAATTATGCACATGATGAAATGACAAAAAACACAGCAGATTAGCTTTGGTTTTGAGTGTTAGATAAATTACAACTAAGGCTAATTATTTCCAAACTTTACATTGTTATTGTTGCTTGTGTAGTCATCAATATTTTATGTTGCAGAGAAATATTTCAGATTTGAAACCAACTTTCCAGAGACTTAAAATAGGTACAGGAGAAGTGCTCTGAATAAAGGGTGTGAATACTTTTGTTAAAACATTAACTATTAAAAAAAGGAAAATGTAAAAATAAATGTCTACATTGTCATGAGGAAGGTACTGTGACAAAAAAATGTTTAGTCAGTTTTATCTATAAAATAAAAAGGTTATAAAATAACAACAAAATACCTAATAAGGGCATCTGTTTCCTTTCTACTTTGAGCTTTCTGTTTTGATTTAGTTTTTCATATGTCTGTCAGTCAAAGGTAGTGACCAGTTCTTTCTTTAAAGGACTTAACAAGTTCTGGGTTCTTTCTTCCACTTCACAGACTCTGACCAGCTGTACTCACCAGCTGTTGCTCCAGACACAGCCTTGGTGATGGCACTGCTGGCAACAGCTCTGTTTCTGTTCATCAGCTCCTCGAAATCTCTGTCTGTACTTTGAGGTGTGTGTCTGAAAAATACAGATTGTTGTCATACATCTTAATTTGTTGTACCACACTAAATATGTACCATTATTTTGTAATCCCCTCTGCGTCCTAGCCTTTTGCTGCTTTTAAAGATCCACTTTCCACAACAGTATTATCAAGTTTCATTTTAATCACTAGGAAAAAAACATATAGTTAGAAATATAAAACTGTGCATGTTCTCACTTTTGTTGGCTGTAGGCATTGCTGCTGTGCCCGTCTTGTGCTGGGGTGAAGAAAGTTGGATTTATATGCAGACTGGGAGAAGGCTGGCTTGGAGCATGGACTGGAGGAGGGGGGAACAAGGGGGGTGGCAGGGGCGGAGGGATGTTTGGCGGCATATGTGGGAAGGGAGGAGGTGGCTGGCCAAAGCAAGGCATTGGTAATGAGGGAAACCTGTTTGCAAGGGGATGTGATGGAAAAAGTGGAAGTATAGGGGGAGGGCTGGGCTCCTGTGATAATAATGAGGGGATTTTTTCCAAAGAATCGGACTCCTTGGGATCTTTGGAATTAAGCCGCATGGGTATACCTACAAAGAACACATTGTTTTTGTTAGAACCGACAAAGACAATGACATTTTGCAATAAAATAAATAGTATTCTCTTAGCATTGTGGTTCTCTTACGTTTATTTGCTGCATCCTCAAACACAGTGAGGTTCTGGCGAGTGGCAAACCGGCAGTCTATCCTTTCCCCATTAAGTTGACATTGGGGTATTTTTTCCAACAATATTTTCAACGACTCTTCTGAGGTTACCACCACTTCTGCATAGCTGTATTACAGAGTAGAAGGAACACATGTATGGTCACCAACACTAACTAGTCACAGAAATCCAAATCTTTAATAAATCAAAACACAAGCTTCCAGTATTTATTTATACTTAATAAAACACCTGATCTGCAACCACTCACCCCCTTGACTGGCCATTAGCTCTGTTTTCAGCAAATTTGATCTCTGTGATGTCTTTCACACCCAACGTTTGAGCCATGCTCATGAGGTCCTTATCGGATGTCCACTGGAGGTAGTAGCAGGTTTGGGAGGAAGAGATGAGAAAATGCCAGGAGGGTAGATAGTTACTCATTATCTTGATAAATAGGACTACCGTTAAAGAAACAAAAACTGATGTGATTGACAGAAACAGACTCGTATGTAGTGCTGAGTAAAACTTTGTTTGTCTTTGATTGTCGTGGATATATTTCAAAATATTCCCGACCATTATGAACTGTGCTAAGACGAACGTTAGATTATGCTTACTTTAACTGTGGGTCAAATGTACGTTTGGTACCTGGCATTTGAACGAGGTTGTGTTAAAGCTGCACTGGGTAACTTTTATAACATATTTGAGCCTTCTAATGTTAATTTCTACTACCAGTGTTGGTGGGTGAAAGCAAACAAATCGGTCCATGCACAATATATATAAAGTTTCTATTTTCCTCCAAGACTTCCCCTTTTTTGGATTTAGAATCCAGAGCTACCCGAGCTAGGAAGACTCAACACTAGTGAACCCCGCTATTAAAGTCTGGCAAAATATAGAGGAAAAAACACCAGGTCAGGACATAATGTATGACAACATTTTATTTGATGAAATCTTAAAACATATTGGACGATAAAATACAAATGGAATCAACTACCATAGAGAGGGTGTTACTCACCCATGAGAAATTTCCAATATACAAAGACAGTCTCCTCAGTGAGTTCCCTCCTTTCTGACTTTTCACTGTTGATTTATCCTCCTCTTTAGCTGTTGTCTCTTTAGGAGGCGTCACATTTGTAACCGTTTTGTCCCGATCGACTGAGCCAGTCAGAACAGCATCAAAAAGTTCATTTGCTTCGGCAATTCTGTCCAAATCCTGTGTAGGATAAAAAAATAAAATAAAAATCAATGAATGTCAATGTGCATCAATGAACAAAGCATACTAGAAGATATACAAATCCAAGCAGCTGCAGCAGCAGGAAGTACTGAATGACAAGGATCATTCCCAGATTATCCTGCTTGAGTCAGGAGAACTACAAAACTGAATGAAAGTACCTATTGCCCATGTGCAATAATCAAGGGACAATAATTACTGTGCATCTGTTGTTGTGGTTTTTTTACTGTTTTTTCTCT